CCCGGGCGGGGCCTCGGGGCGGCCCCCTGCCACAGAGCCCAGGCTGCTCACAGCAAGTGGCAGGGAGACTGCAAGCAGCTGCACTGGGGTCTGTGGAGCTCTGGCCAAGCTCATTGTCTGCAGTGGGTGCACGTGCCCCTCTGGGCAGAAGGCAGGGAAGGAGCCCAGGCTGCACTGCCACAAGTATCTGGCTTTACATGTTTCCCCTGCTATCTGCTCTTGGCATGCCAACATCTTTCAAGTAGAGGCTGTGGGTGTTTTTGGCACTTGGCCCAAAAATGTTGCTGACTCCTGAGCTATACTGAGCAACCCTTGCTCATACCGGGAGATGAGCAAGTCCCATGCTCTGACTGATGTTGAAGGCAAAACTATTTCAAGTGATGAAGATCAAGTCCTTGAAAAGAGCAGTCCTACAGACACTGATTGGCGAGCACTTACAAGAGAGTGTTGCCTAACATGGGTTGAAAAATCCATAGTCCTACCTAATAACTAATGCACTGATATGTAACTATTATATTTTAATTAATTTTTTCCCTTATTTGATGTGTCTTAAAAAAATTCACCCAATCCAAAACTCAGTGTTTTACCCTTTTTTCCAGTAGTGATAAAAGGCACCACTATAAACTTAATTCCTTATTAGATCCATTTCAAATTAATACAAGAGCAAAAACTGACTGGCTTTTCAAGCCTTTTTCAGTTGTAATAAAGAGAAACCTCCTTCTTTGGGAAAAATTAACTTCCCCACTGTCAGTTTAAAAAACTAGGAAGTATTTTACCTACGTTACAAATATTAACAATTTTGCAATTAAAAAAAGTTTCCACATATTAGAAAAAGGGAAAATTATTCCAGTGATACAGCTCTCAAATTCATGTTATATTATGAAATTGTTCTGAATTATTAGACAACAAGAAGGAAGGCAAAACACTGGTCAATAATAGTATTTTACTATTCCAGCAAGAATAATATTGTTGAAGTATGATAGTCAAGAATGTAGACAATGTAGACAAGAATGTAGACAACTTAGAGGGAAAACCTTACTATTTTCATTAGTTTAACACATGAATTATCTGTGGAAAGCTGTAATTAATGATGTGAGCTGGAAACACCCCCCCCCCCCCAAAATCCCAGAATCTGTGCTGTTGAAAATAACCATAATCTAAGACATCTCCCTAATTTTCTGGCTATACCTTCTAAGTAGATCTTCTTCCCCCAACTTTTCGTTTATGCAAAAATCACTCATATCACTCAAAAACATTCTTTTTTTTTTACTACTGCTTTTAATATCTACAATTTTATTTCTCTCCAGTAATTTTCAGTTTAGATCAAAGATGCTCAACCCCTGGGCCAGATCTAGCCCCAAGGCTCCCCATGGATCTATAGAAAGCCCCACAGACTGTGGCTCTGCGTATTAAATCAGGCATGTAGGGCAGTACAGGGCTCGATCCCAGCATGTGGAGCCAGGTCAGAGGCAGTGCAGAATCCCAGAGCCTGATCCCAGCACGCAGAGGCAATGTGGGGTCTGACCTGGCCTGTGGATCAGCCTCACACAAATGGAAATCCAGAAGGTTGAGCACCACTGATTTAGACAATGACAACTGGGAACTGAACAGCTTTCTAATTCATTTCCAAATTCCTATGAACTAACAATACTGCTTATGTGTGTTGCAGATTTCATTTTATACATTTTTAAGAAGTTACAATAAAATATCTTGGTTTTAGTTTTCTGTAAATATGTATTTATCCTGAACTCAGAAGCAGCTGCAAGTTTGATTTGACCAAGTCCTTTTAAATAACTGAAACATCTAAATAAATTTTTCATTAAATCTACCTACTTTATTCTTCTCCACAAAGTTAGATGCTTTCAAAAGTAGGTTTACTGAAAATGCAGAACCCTGCAGAATTTGGGCATATACTTTGTACATAAAATAAGCTTTAAGCATTTTTCTTTTTCCCCAACGATACTCTCCTCCTTTCCGTCTCAAAATAATAATTTGGGCTTGATATCTTCTTAACACTGCATGCATGACTCCAAGGGCAGAGCTAGAGGGGCTGCAGTGGCACAAGTTGAGCCCTATTTTGGCAGTGGCCGGAATGCATGGTGAGCTCTCAGAGCTCACTGGCCTGTCAGAGGAACTCCCACAAGTGCTGGGAGCTCTACGAGCTCACTGGCTGGTCTCCCCAGAGTCCCTGCTTTCAAGTAGCTAAAGCTTGC